CGCCAGTCTGGGCCTCGTCCAACTCTTCGCCATCTGGCTCCAACTGGTAATGCTCCGGCCTCTCGTGGCCTCCCTACTACTGCTCAGAGAGTCGGTGAGCAAACTGGCCTTGAGAAGCGTGGCCTGGGGAGGAGGGAGTCAGTATGACTAGGCTCTACCCAGGGTTGGTCAGTTTGTTGGGCTCACGGAGTCCTGGTTCTGTAATCTTAGCTGTGTGCTTAAATAGGTACTAAGGGGCAGAGAAACAATTCGTTCTAGGAGTGCTGGTTCCTTTTAAGAGTCTTTGCTCATTGGTGACTCATATGAACAAGGTTAGTTGTAGAAGTTTGTTAGCTGGATGACTAGAGGTGGCCCATTCTTTTGGGTGGAGTTGGGAGAGTTAAGGAAACTATTTTTTTACAGAGTATGTCCCGTATTCCAAGAAGTGGAAAGAGTTGTATGTTATTTGTTGGCTGTTCCTTGAGAGTAGCAGTAGAGGCCCCATGTGTGATGTGTTGTGTGAACATGCTTTGGAATTTCTCCTTCCGTGGGGCGTGGCCAGTTGGACATCTGCTGCCAACACTGATGTGCATTTGCTGGTCTGTTGTAGGGTCTGAGTGCCCGGACCGCTTGGCTATGGACTTTGGTGGGGCTGGTGCCGCCCAGCAAGGGCTGACTGACAGCTGCCAGTCTGGAGGTGGTATTGGATGCACACAGAATGGGGAAAGATGGGATTTGACGGGTCTTTGCCCAGACTGATGGGCTTTAATTTTACTTGTTCTTTTCCTAAGGTGTTCCTACAGCTGTGCAGAACTTAGCACCTCGTGCTGCTGTGGCGGCTGCTGCTCCTCGGGCTGTTGCACCTTACAAGTATGCCTCCAGTGTCCGCAGCCCTCACCCTGCCATACCACCTCTGCAGGTGGGTCCACCAAAGAACACTAAAGGATTTTCATGTGATTTAAAAGATGCCTTGGTTTGATTCCTTAAACAGGTGTTAAATGCCTGCTCTATATCAGGATACTATGTCCTGTATGTGACACTGCCCTTGAGGGGCTCTCTGTGGGTGAGAACGGGCTTAAAAGTATTCTCCCTGATAACAGTTACCTTGGAAATGCCCCAGAGGAGACCGCTGGTGCTTCCTGCTCTCCTTTTCACAATATATATGTGCTCATTCGGCTCTGAGTTTCCATTTCTCTTTCACCTCGACTGGCCTAGTCAATCCTTAGCTGCTCTGCAATATGATTGGTACATTGAGGCAGGAAAGAACTTCATGTCACAGAGGAGTTCAGCTTCAGAGGTGTTGAGGTGGGGCAGTTGGACCTAGATCTCAGGTTTTCTAAGCTGGAACTTGTCATCTCTGGAGCTGTGCTTCTTAGGCAAGCCACAATGCAGCTGGTTTGTCAGAAAGCTCAGTAGCACTTTGCTTAGAGGAGACACACAGCTTTGTAATCTATGAGCTGCTTCCTCCTGCTCCATGCTCTCTAAGTTGAATATTTCCCAGAACTTGACACTATGTGAAATAATTTTTGCCTATAAGGCCCTACTTTTAGGGCTGTGCCTGGCATTGACCTTGCATGTTGATAGTCCTCAGGTATTTGATCGATAAAAACATTTGGTACAATAAAAGGGATGTAATTATAAATGGTTTGAAATTCATACCCTTTGACTCAGGCCCTGCTAGGAATTAACCCTAGAGAGGAAAAACCTAATTTTCAGGAAAAGGCTGTACATATACATGTCCACTGGACCTTATTTATTAACAAGGTTTCAAATTCTTGTGTAAACAACCTTGATTAAATCGAAATCATTTGATAGAGATGGTTGTGCCAAACATTGTAGGTTTGTTTTCTTATTTCCCTTCCAATAGCATGCTGTTCTTAGTGTAGTTGGCTGTGTATATGCCCATACCACGGTTCCTCACCTCACACTCTACCCCTCAAGACTGCAGTTAGTTCCTTGACAGCAAGGATAATTATTCCACCTTCTCTTTCACATAGTAGACTTTCAGGTGTTGAACAGTAAGGCTCTTGACCACCATCAAATGTCCTTTCCTTGGTGCTAACTGTGCTAACTCGCTGCCTCTCCTGGTTCCCAGGCACCCCAGCCTGCGGTCCATGTGCAGGGGCAGGAGCCCCTGACTGCCTCCATGCTGGCTGCAGCACCCCCCCAGGAACAGAAGCAGATGCTGGGTATGTCCTTGTAGAGGAGTGGGCCAGAGCTTGGTACTGACCTGGACACCAGTTTCCATTCTTTCCTGTGACTCAACTTGGTTTTTACTTGAGTATCTTCCCACAGGAGAGCGTTTGTTCCCACTCATCCAAACCATGCATTCGAACCTGGCTGGAAAGATTACAGGAATGCTTCTAGAGATTGACAACTCCGAGCTACTGCACATGCTGGAGTCCCCCGAGTCTCTCCGCTCCAAGGTGAGCAGGGTGGTCTCAGCTGCGGAGGATGACCGGTGGCCTTCAACCCCCACGTGTGGCAGAGAAAAGGGGCTGCTGTGGTGTGGGTATTTGAGAAAGTCGTCAGCACCAGGAGAAGCCACCACTGGACCTGGGCATCAGGGAGGAGTGGAGGGGCTCTCCTTAGATGTCACTGACCACCCGGAGATTTCTCACAGGTGGATGAAGCTGTGGCAGTTCTACAGGCTCATCATGCCAAGAAAGAAGCTGCCCAGAAGGTGGGCGCTGTTGCTGCTGCTACCTCTTAGGCAAGGAAAAAAAACGTACGTTTGGCTATTTTTGTTTTCTGCAATGGTTTTGACTTATAAATATCGTCCTAAAAGATTAGGGACAATATATAGAGCCATGTTTCTGCCATTTAACCTGATAACTTCAACATGCTGTCATCTGGATGAGTTAACATGGAGAAAAGAGTACAGGTTGTAAATTATAGGGAACAAACAACAGTTTTCTCAATAAAGAGCACCTCCTTAGAAAGTTCTGTATAGCTTATTATCCTTTCCTGATGATTATAAGCAGACTTTCTTAAGAATTCCATTTTTGGTTTGGAATAATGATGAATATACAGGTTATCATAATCAGACCCTACAGCCTCATTTCTATGAATATCTCCCTGATTTGGTTGGAGATTGGTGAGGTCAGCTGTGTGTTTAGCCACTGCTTAGCTCTGGGAACACAGTAGGCACAGGCCTTGGTGTCATAAGTGGGAGACAGACACACAACTGACTGCAGTTACAGCATGTGTTCCAATCAACTTCTGGACTTGGGGGCCATGGCCCCTGTCTGCAGGGGATTGGATGAGTGAAGTTTAACTAGGACTTCTGACAAAGACTGATGAGGAAAGGAGAGAACCAAATGAGCAGAGGCATAGTCAAGGGAAAAGTGCAGGTGGTAAGGGCCAGAGCTAGTATGAAGGTTGGAGGTTGACTCAGCCGTGGCCCCTTGGCTTGTCATTTGGAATTTAAGCAAGAGAACCATAAAATTGTAGAAGCTTTGAGTACAGGGTGGCTTGGAAGGGTAGGGGCTGAGTCTTGATATATAGACTGTAGTTATCCTCAAAGTTCAGTGGTTCTCAATGATTATAAGCAGCCCCTTTAGAGGACATTTGCCAATGTCAGGAGACATTTCTGGTTCTCACAACTGGGAATGTGTCACTGGCATCTAGTGGGGTGCTGCTAAACATTCTACACTGCACAAGACAGCCCCAGCAGAATTTTATCCAGGCCAAAATGTCAGCACTTGAAGTTCAGGAACTCTGCTTTGTAATACTTTTTATCAGCGAGGAATTTCAGTGAATCTCTGAGGTTCTTCTGATTATTTATGTTGGTGCTTTTCTTTCCAGGACTCAAAAGCCAAATAACCCCTCATGGAATTCAGCTCAAGGTTTGAAGACTTCCTAGCATGTCCTATGGACCTCGACACCAAGAACCACAAATTGCAAATTTAATAGGTCATTTTGTATCAAAAGGTCAATTAAGAAGCACCTAGAATTTTTCAATTAAAAGAATATATTCTCTGGGTTCTGCTATGGCCTAGACAGTGTTAACTTTTTTTTTTTTTTTTGTATTGTGGGTTTTGATTCCACCCCTCCCCCCAAAATTGGTTTTATTTGATGTACCCAAGTCATAAGTTTCTCAATAAAGAAAAACATCTCCATAAAACTGCCTGTCTTGTATTTTACTCTGACCACAGTTTTATTCTATAAATCTCTTTTCAGTAGAAGTAATTTTAGAATGTAAATAGGGTCAAATGAAGTTCTGTATAACTCATCCTTTCCTGCAGTTATAAGCAGGTTATTTTGGGTTAGGTGTGTACAACTATCCCATTGCATTGTTACAGGAGGACTTTGTATTGACTTCATTTAACTTAGGAGAACAGGCGAACAGGCGTCTGATCACAGCAGGCCTTGTACCTAATACAGGATTGGCACATTTCTGAAGGACATAGGATGAGATCTGTAGGACCTGGCCGCTCCCTCCGTGACTTGCTGGTGATGGGTTGTCAGTCCCTTCTATCTCCTACAAGTTTGTTGTGCATGCGGGTCTGCAGGTCCGGTTGTCCAGATTTTGCAACTGGGTTTTCCCCTGGCAATGGGAAAAGGCTTGGGAGATAGGTCTGGGCGGCAACCGCAAACAATTGCTCAAGTCCTAAGTGTTTTGTGGTTCTTTTAGTCCTCAAAATGACCATAATCTAGTCAAGGTCAACCAGTCTACTGCCCTCGTCCTCCAGGAACCCTTTTTCCCTTCCTGGAGCTTGGTGGGCTGTCCTTCCTCAGGGCCTTACCCACGTGATCCCTTTTCTTGGAATGTTCTTCCGCTTTGGTCGGCTCCCCCTTTTCTTTAAGGTCTGGCCCAGTCTACAGTAGATTCTCCCACTTTCTGATGCCCGTGGATACTGCGGCTATGGATTTGTGTTTTGTATTATCTGACGGCCCCTCCGCACCTAGCGGCACCTAGCAACAGCTGAACCCGGTTGGTGCCACGGCATCTGCGCTGGAAGGTGAAGGGGCGGAGCGCGTGCGCGATGCAGACTTCCGGCGGAAGAGGGGGGGACAAGATGGCGGCCACCGAGAGGGTTCGTACGTTCGCGGGTGAAGCGGCGTGAGGGTGACGCCGGGTCTTCACCCGCAAGGCCTTGATTGAGTTGAAGTCCAGGCGGCACGTAGCGGCATGTTAGCGGCAGGTAGCGGCCAAGGCCGGTCTCTTTTGGGGCTTTATCCCTGCAGTCTGGACGGTGTTCGTGACCTAATGACGCCGCTGGTCCCAGCGCTACCCAGAGTCCTTTCCCCTCTGACCCTGGACCCAGAGCTGTGGTGAGATCTGTTACTGGGACCTCGGGTCGCAGCCCAAACTTTCGACCCTGCTTCCTTAGATGAAGGCAGTCCCAGAATAGTGGGGAATTATGGAAACAGCCTCGCGAGTTGGTGAGCACTGTGACGCAATTGTTTGATTGTTGAAGAGGGGCTGGCGGTTTCCGGAAGTGACCGCTCCATCGGGAAAGATGAGGCCAGAGCTAAGTTTGAAAGGTCAGGAGTTGGGCATCCGAGGCGGGACCAAGCCGTTGGCATGGAGAGCAACAAGAGCGAAAGCCCAGAGGGCTGAAGGAGCCCAGTACTTGGAGGCAGATAGTTTGGACTGGAGAAGCGGAGGGGAAAAGAGGCTAGAGAGGTGGGCAGGGCTCAGGTTATGAAGGTCTTATATGTTATGCTAAGGAATTTGGGCCCATCCTGTGGGCATTGGTGAGCTTTTGGACAACATTAAGCAGGGCATTGTTGTCGTCGGACTTGCACTTTGTTGGAATAATTCTAGTGGCTCTATAGAGGAAAGAGAAACTGGAGGTGGTGAGGTCATTTAAGAAGCTGCCAGAGGGGCTAGATGTAGGCCTGAAGAGGGATAGGGAGAAGTCATCTTGTGTACCCAAAAGACTGTAGGGACCCCTCTTTCTCTGCCCTATGGCTCTCTTGTTAGTACATTGTTGCAGCAACTGTACCAAGAGTGGAGGACATTAGTTTAGAAGGAGCTTGGTGCCTTTGAGGTGAGTTGGCCGAGGAGGTGGATGAAAAGTTCTTCATGCCGTGTTTATTCGTTTTGGAGACATCACAGGTATTCAGATTCCACTGCATTGTGAAACAGATGAGTCTTCAGTGTCTTTCATGTTTAGATTCCTAATGCCAGGGAAAGAACTTGAGAAAAAATGTTAAGTCATGTGCATTCTGTGTATGTTTGCTATGTAATGAAGTTAAGGAGGATGTCCCTGTTGGTCAACATCACTGATCTTGATGATGGAAAAGGAATATCTGAGGACAACAAAGCCAAGATGGTGGTATGGCTATGGGCTGAATTTTACAGAGATTGACAATTTGTTGGGTGTGAAGAAAGGCTTTCTCCACATTGGAACCATTTGCGGCCTTTGACTTCTGTTCATTTAATATATAAACTGTATTGTAAGAATCAGTAAAAAGATAGTCTTTGAAAACTCTTGAAAGGTCTGATTGTTGTTTTACACCACCTGCCGGGAAGCTGAAACCCACCATATTTTCTCACCAGACCTCCCTTCTTGGCAGCAGTGCATTTAATATATTGTTTTTTTGTTTTTGTTTTTATTACTGATTTTAGAACAAGAGGAAGGAGAAGGAGAGAGAAACATCATTTGGCTGCGGGGACCAAGCCCACAACCCGGGCATGTGCCTTGACCAGGAATCGAACTGGCGACCTCTAGGTTCACGGTAAAATGCCAAACCAACTGAGCCACACGCACTAGCCAGGGCATTGGCAGCTGTGCTTTTAAAAAGCAGAGGGCAGCAGAGAAGCTCAGCCTCGACAATGGAGCCTTGGCCTCTGTTTACCTGGGTGAGTTTTCTTTCAGTTGGTATCACAGTTACAGTGCATACTTCTATTTGATCCCTGGTTGTTACTTTTTAAGATAGGAGATTTTGACCTAATTCTGCCACGAACTGTGTGTGACACTTTAATTCTCTGAGCCTTATGTTTAGTTCTTAAATAAAATGGTAAGGCTGGCTTTTGGGGACCCTTCTACCCCTGTATTCTATAAATTAGTAACTCCTATTGCTCTTGCTCTCCGTCAACTAAAATAGCTGTGCTCCCTTCTTAAGTAGTCACCTAACTCAGTAGTGAGGTGAGTGCTCTGTATGTAGTTAATGTCCAATTGGAATAAATAATTGATAGACCAACATTTTTCCTTCTTTGTATAAGTCTTGTAAGCAAAGGTTATCAAAATGCTTGGAAAGTAACTTAAAGCTTAAATTGTGTAGCGGTTTAAAATTTTAGTCACTATTTTGTTATATTGACACAAATGCAGTGTCTTTAATATTTCTGGAAGCATTGCTAACTAAACCAAGGAAAATCTAAAAATTAGATTTTCACTTTATAAATGGCATCTGGCTTATAAATGGCTTCCTCCTCTTGCCCACATAATTAACTACCTATTTCTGCTGTTGTAGAAAAGCACCGAGGATTTGCTGTTGAATTTGAGTTGGCAGAGGTAAGTTTCAATGTTCACTTTTTTAATATATATATATATATATATATGTATTTTTTTTTTTTTCTTGATTTCAGAGAGAGGAAGTTAGACGGAGAGAGAGAGAGAGAAACATCAGTGATGAGAGAGTCATTTATTGGCTGCCTCCTGCACGTCCCCTGCTGGGGATCGAGCCCGAAACCTGGGCATGTGCCTTGACTGGGAATCGAACCCTGATCTTCTGGATCATAGGTCGATGCTCAACTGCTGAGCCACTCAGGCCAGGTTTTTTTTCTTTTTAATTTTCACCCAAGGATATTTTTTCCATTGCTTTTCAGAGAGGGTGGAAGGGAGAGAGAGAGAAACAGAAACATTGACGTGAGAGAGAGATATTGATTGGTTGCTGGGGATAGCTCTGGAATTGAATCCCGGACCCTTCAGTCCTTAGGCCAATGCTCTAAACACTGAGCCAAACCAGCTAGGGCCACTGATTGCTATTTTACTAGTGTTACTGTTGTCACTGCTTACAAAAGGTGCCATTTTCCATTTGGGTGGATGTAGTAGATTCCTGGGGTTGCCATAACAAATTACCACAAACATGGTGACTTAAAACAACAGAAATTTATTCCCACAGCTCTGGAGGTTAGACTGAAAACAAGGTATTGGTGGGGCCATGCTCCCTCTGAATATTCTAGGAAGAATCCTTTCCTTCCTGGCTTCTGGTGGCTCCTGGCAATCCTTGCATTTCTTGGCTTATAACTGCATCACTCCAGTCTCTGTCCCTGTCTTCACATGGCCTTCTCTGTGTCTCTCTGTGTCTTGTTGTTAAAAAAAATATTTTTATTGCTTTTTAGAGAGAGGAAGGGGGAAGGAGAGAGAGAAACATTGATATGAGAGCAAAACATTGATCAGCAGCCTCCTGCATGCCCCCTGCTGAGGATTGAGCCCACAACCCAAGCATGTGCCCTGACTGGGAATCCAACCGGCAACCTTTCAGTACATGCATGGGTCAACGCCCAACCACCTGAGGCATACCAGCCAGGGCTGTCTTCTCTTCTTATAAGGACACCACTCATTGGCTTTAGGGCCCATCCTAATTCAGCATGACCTCATCTTAACTAATTACATCTGCAAAGACCCTATTTCTAAACAGGGTCAAATTCTCAGGTTTGGGTAGATGTGAAATTTGGGAGACACTCTTCAACCCTCTACAGTGGCTTGGTGATGACAGTTGCCAAGAGGTAGGAAATTCTGGCTCGAAGTTCCCTTCATGTAGTCAGAATGTGGAAGACAGGTACTGCAGAGCCCTAAGCCTTCTGACCTGGTGTTGCTAGTTCCGGTTTTATTTGTGTATTCTCTGTCTCTGTAACCTGGGCGCATAGCTGTATACCACCAGCTCTAATAAGTGGTTAGTACTATACATGTCCTTTGTTAAATATGTACATACAGTCTAGGCAGTTAGGAAGGGAAAACATCTTTTCTTGTGCTTGTGCTACTAAGTTTTTATTTTAAGTACTAACTACAAGAGTTGAACTGCAGGCGTGAACTTTTTTGTGGGGGCAGGATACTGCAGCAGCTACTGATGATATGGTATGGCTGAGAATCTTTGCCTTTTTTTTTGGTTGTTAAATATATTTTTATTGATTTCAGTGAGAGGAAAGGAGAGGGAGAGAGAGGTAGAAACATCAATGATGAGAGAGTCATTGATCAAGCCCACAACCCGGGCATGTGCCCTGACCAGGAATTGAACCCTGATCGCCTGGATCCTAGGTCAACGCTTAACTGCTGAGCCACACCTGGCCGGGGTCTTTGCATTTTATTGAAGCTGTTATTTGGTGTTTATTTACAGTACTCGTGCACATACTGTGTTTCCAGTTTCTATGGTCAAAGTTATATAGGAAGCGAAGTTGTCATTATTAGAAAAAATTCACTATGAACTATTTATAAAATTTTTATTCAGATATTCTCCCCATTTAACATTTGAATAAATATCAACCATCTTTGTTGTCAATCTTCCCCTGACTGTTTTCTATCTACATCAAAGGTCAGGAAACCACAGTTCATGGGCCAGAGCCATCCTGTAGCTTGTTTTTGTATGGCCTATGAGCTAAATGGTTTTTATATTTTTAAAGGATTATGGAGAAAAGAAGAATGTGCGGCAGAGACTGTAGGTGGCCTGCAAAGCGTAAAATATTTACACTCTAACCCTTTTCAGAAAGTTTGTTGACCTTTAGGGCAGCGATTCCTTTTTTTTTAATTTTTTTTTTTTTTTTAATTTTAAGTTTTTAATGAAAATTGTATATAAGATTACTTTATTCCTGCATCTTCTCAATTGTTTCTTCTTTGTATTTGCCCTTTTCCTTTCCTACTTGGCAAGATTTGGCTTTACGTTCAAGGATCTTTTTGCGGTCTTTGTCCGGCTTTAGTGATAACTACCTTGCTGGGATGAATGCCCACATGAACAGTTGTACCATTAGCTTTCTCCCGTTGCACTTGTTCAATGTAGATGACATACTTCTTCCTATAAACCTGGACCACTATGTCAATTTGCTGCCCTTTATAATGTCCTCGAACAACCTGAACTTCATCATCCTTCTGGATGAGCATGGATCGAACATTGTACTTCTGTCTCAGCTCTTTGGAAAGAGGAGAAGACATAATCTTCCTGCGAATGTGGGAAGGTGCATTGAAATGCCTTTTACGGTTCTTGCTCTGGTCAGAAGTCACAAAGGGATTGAACTTCATTTTGACTGTTGCTGAATCTATGATGGCGGCAAAAGGGCTAAATTTTTTATTGTTGACACTATTGCAGATGTCCCCGGTTCCCCTTCCCTTTGCTCAACTCCATCCCGCCCCCCAGCCATCCCCCCACCTTGGCTCTTGTCACAGACACTCTATTGTCTGTGTCTGTAGGCTTTGCATATATGTTCTTTAGCTAATCCCTTCACCTTCCTTTATCCAGTCACCCCTGCCCACCTCACCTCTGACATTTGTCAGTCATTTCTATGCATCCATGCCTCTGGTTCTAGTTTGTCAGTTTATTTGTTCATTAGATTCCACATATTAGTGAGGTCATATGGTATTTGTCTTTGCCTGCTGACTTTTTTTGCTTAGCATAATAATTTCCAGGTCCATCCATGCTGTTGCAAAATGTAAGAGCTCATTCTTTTTTTACAGCCATGTAGTATTACATTGTGTAAATGTACCACAGCTTTTTTTTTTAAATTTATCTTTATTGTTGAAAGTATTGCAGATATCCCCCTCCTTTTCCCCCATTGATCCCCTCCACCCTGCATTCCTCCTCCCCAGGCCTTTACCACACTATTGTTTGTGTCCGTGGGTTATGCATATATGCATGTAAGTTCTTTGATTAATCTCTTCCCACCCACTCCTCCACCCCCACCTTCCCACTGAGATTCATCAATCTGTTTCATGCTTCTGTGTCTCTGGATCTATTTTGATCCTCAGTCTATTTTGTTTATTAGATTCCACATATGAGTGAGTTCATGTAAAACTGAATCAGGAAGAATCAGAAAACCTGAATAACAACTGATGAAATTGAAGCAGTAATTAAAAAAACTCCCAGCNGAATAGGCTAATTGATGAAATCGAAGCAGTAATAAAAAAAAAACTCCCAGCAAACAAAAGCCCTGGTCCTGATGGTTTCACAGGAACTTTAAGTTTTAGGGTTCGTTTACTAAAAATTTTTCTTGCTTTTTGAGGTAGGCCTGTAGTGCTATGAACTTCCCTCTTAGGACTGCTTTCACTGTGTCCCATAGATTCTGGGTTGTTGTGTGTCATTTTCATTTGTTTCCAGGAAGTTTCTTCTTTCTTTCTTGATTTTATTGATAACCCATTCATTGTTTAAAGTCATGCTATTTAGCTTCCAAGTGTTTGAATGTTTTTGAGTGTTTTTACTGTAGTTGATTTCTAATTTCATGCCCTTGTGATCTGAGATGCTTGATATGATTTCAGTCTTTTTGAACTTGTAGAGCTTCAGTTGCAGTTGATTATTCAGGATGGTTTTTCTATATTTTAGTTGTAATTCTAGTTTGGTCCTAGGAGAGTTTCCATGTAGCTTCCACTCAGCACACCTAGAGCAGCAGTTTTCAACTTGTGTGCTGGGTGCACTGGTGTGCTGCAAGAATTTTTAAAACATGCTATACCTAACTAGTCAGGGCCACTGACCTCATTTCCCTTAGATTGTCAAATAAAAAAAACAATGACAACAGCCAACACAGTAGCCATCCGGTGTGCATGAGTCAAAATTATACCTATTTTCTTTTCCTTTTTTTGGTTTCGTTGGATCAGCAAATAATATATTTTTAGTGTGCCGCACAATTTTAGTAATTAGTTTATGTGTGCCATGAGATGAAAAAGGTTGAAAACTGCTGCTCTAGGGCAGTATACTGCAAATAGAGTGTAAATGGATTGCAAGGTAAAATTGTGAATCTTATAAAAGAGGCACGATAGGATTTCATGAAGTATCTGAAAGTGATTATGGGAAACTGCTGTTTTTGCTCTAATTTGAAAAGCGACGCTCTTATAAAGTTAAACCAATTAACAACTGAGGAAGAGAAGAGCTACAAGATTATGACAAGTTGGGTGCTTCAAAAGAAATGAATGCCTATTGCTGCTGTAACAAATTACCACAAATTTGGCAGTTTACACAATACAAATGTGTTACCTTACAGTTCTAGACATCAGAATTCCAAAATGGGTCTCACCAAGTTAAAGCCAAGGTGTTGGCAGGGCTGTGGTCCTGGAGGCTCCAGGGGAGAATGCATTTTTTTTCCTTTTCCAGCTTCTAGAGATTGACCACTTTCCTTGGCTTTTGGCACTTCCATCTTCAAGCCAGTAGTGACCAGGCGAGTCTTTCTCACAGTGTCTCTCTGAAACTAACTTCTACCTCCCTTTTCACAGTTAGAAGATCCTTATAATTATATTGGGCCCATCCAAACAATCCAGATAATACCCTTATTTTAAGATCAGCTTATAGCGTTAATTTCATCTGTAACCTTAATTCCTTCTTGTTGTATAATAAGCATATTCACAGGTTCCAAGGATATTGTTGGAAATAAAAATAGTACTTTATTCATCTTTGTTCCTAAGAACAAAGGAAATCTAAATCTTACTAAATTAAGGAATCTTATTTCATATGTTTTTTTAATTTTCATGAAAAGTTCCCCTGGGAGGGGAAGACTGCACAAGCTTTCCTTTGCGGGGAAGATGTGCACCCCCTATAGTCCGGTCTTGTGGGAAGACTAAGCCCTATCCTGTGGGTTAGTTACCACCTAGGATGGGTGTCCTTCCAGTCGTCCTGCTCCTGGGCATGGTGGAGTGTTTGCTCGTCTTTCTGATCTGGTAAAGCTCCCAGCTTCTGATGCTGATCATTCCAGCCATTCACCATCATAGATGCCAAACTTGGATAGCTGCTCCAAATACTTTGGCTTGGGGCGCATTCTGAGCAAGAATGAGGGGTTTCATTGGAGACCTGGCCTGAAGAGGTGAGCGAGAAGTTGATGCCTCTTTTGGAGAGTCCCTTTCCCTCAGGACCTTGACTCCTGCTCAGTGCCCTCAATCTCTTCTAAGCCTGTACCAGTCCACTTTCAGAGGTGAAGGAGGTAACACGGACACGCTCATCATCTGCTTCACCACTTCCCACAGCAGGTTTCAGTGCAGGCAACCTACGCTCCATCTCCTACTTCACTTGTGTCTCTATTTTAGCCTGTCTTTGAGATGCCATAGCAACGAGACTAGGATGGGCCATGGAGGAACTAGCAGTGTTATTTTCAGCTGAGTTGTTCTTGGTTTGGGGCAACTCAAACTCTGCCACATGATAGTGTTGGCACTGAGTTAAGTGGTTTAAAAAGTGTTCTTGAGCCCACTGCAAATGATCTAGACACTTGCTGGGGGTGGCTGGTTTCATGGTGAGTGCTCCTTGAAATGCTGGCACCATCAGGCACTTCAGGTTGGGGGAAGCAGTCTCTTCCAAATCTTCACTTGTGCTGAACAAGTTGAGCTGTGATAACAGTTTGGCAGCCTTCTTTAAGGAGGTGCAGTCCCTTCAACACCTTCTCTTGGATTACCCAGGAACTGCTAGGTTCCGCTGTTGCTTCCACTTCTTCTGGAAACTGTTTGCTGGTAGCCAACAGCTTGGGGAGCCGTGGCAGCAGTAACTCCTCTTCTGCAGCTGCTGCCATCTTGGGGGAGGGCACTAGTATTGCTTATTCTTGGATAATGAAATATTCCATACTTCATTCCATGTTCTCTGTTACTCTTCTGTGAAATGTCTCTCTCAACAGTCAGCAGCCCCATTTTTCTCCAGTTCAGTGCTGATCTTGACTTTTAAGGTGGGCTCAGTTCTTGGTAACTGCATTCACCCTTGTAATTTCAGATGCAAAGATCATGCCAGCACCAACCTTCCTGTTAATAAGTGTATGGTGGCTCAGGGACTTCTTATGGTTAGCTTTGTGCTTAGCTTGCTGTTGGGGAAGGGGGTGCAGGCTCCCAACTTAGAATTAATCGTAAGTCTCAGACTTCTTAGAAGTAGATGGTAGGCTGTTGGGTGTTCTTTTAACCTAACAAGGTTTAAGCAGCTGAGTGTATTGCAATCTTTTCAGAATGAATCTGAACTCTTGGGAGGACAATTTGTGTCAGTTTGACCAAACCAATGATGGGCAGTAAGGAAGGCTCTTCCAGACCAGGTGAGTGGGGCCAGCCACGGATTCCCATCATGTCCTTACTTTGGCCTCTGCTGCATTTTTATCCCTGTCTTCCTGCTGTGGTGGTAGTATGTACACGAATAGAGTGGTTAACAGTGGGGAGAGAATGTGGCACCTCCAGAGAAATAAAGATTTTGAGATTCTCAGCAAAACAAGAGACATTGTCCCCATGAAAGTCCTGCTTTTGGACATGGACTATGCCTTTCCTGCCTTGACAAGGGTGGGACTTGCCTTTTGCTCAGCTTAGTCCCTCTTTATTTTCATCTGGCTCTGCAAAGACCTGGACTTGAAGGCTTGACGTTTCCTAGTGACAGCTTTCCTTGCCCTTGGAGTGCCTCAGAGGTAACTTCTGCTTATGACACAAGTTACACAAAATGGAGTGTCCACTTTCTGACCAAAGCAGCTAATTAGCAGTTGGCTGATAGCTCAGATCTTGACATATGTTTGATTCTTTCCCTTCAGTTTGGTCAGGTAATGACTAATTGAAGAGGTTCTCTGGGAAACTGGAAGAGAAAAAATAGGAGGGGCCAGAGCTCCCAAAGTGGAAACACAGGAAGTGAAATCGAAGGTGCTCCCACCCAGGGTGTTTCTGACGGTGCTGCTGGTGGGTGGATTGAATGGGAAGCTTTGGGTCTCTTGTCCTTGTAGGGCTCTGGGTGTGCTTGGGGATTGTGATTGCTGTTGAACGAGGGGGGTGTCTGAGACGAGAAAGGACAGTGGGTCCCTTATCACCAGCCTCCACCATCCTTCTCATCTTTCCTGCTCCCTTACTGGAGACTTTGGCACCAGGCTCACTGTCTTCCTATTCCTGCCCTGATTTTCAGAGAGGCCCCTCCCCTCAAACCATACTCAGGTACAGGCTCTCCCTGCCTTGGCACTTTCTTCTGCCTGTTGATACACCATCCTGACCTTTGCTTCCCAGAATAATTCAAGGGCTCCTCTCTCCACACTGTCCTTGGACAGTTTCAGGCACTTTTGTTCCTTCTGAGGTTATCATAGCCATTCAGTGTTCTGGTCTCTAGTCCTAACCTTGACCTCTTCTGCGTTGCATATATTTTTTCCTGAATGTCTTACAGTCACCATAAATAAACAAAGCCTGTCCCAAGTGAATTCCCTCTCCTCTCACTCTGGTCTTCCACATAGTCACCCAAACTAGGAACGTCATTGTCATATTAGACCCCTCATGAGTTATACCTGTTGCATTGCCATGGCCTGCTTTTATCTTTACGTATTCCTGAATCTCTCCTTTCTTGTTCCTGGCACATTTTCTTGGCTTACCCTCTCTCATCTCTCTTGTGAATAATGGCAGTAGCTTCCTAACTGGTCTCCGTGCCCCAGGCCTGTGTCCTCCTGTCTTGAGCAGCCAGGGAGAGCTTCCCGAAGCACAGATCTGATGATGTCACTCTTGAGCATTCTAGGGATCCCTCATCTAGAGGATTGGGTCTGGGCTTCATCACAGGGATAGAAGGGCTCCCATGTTCTGACCCTGCTCATCTCTCCACATAGTGTATCCATTTTTATTCTAGGAAACAAGTTTGTAGTTATCTATAAACTTCCATGTTTTTGCATAAGCAGTTCTTTTGCCTAAAATGCCCTTTCCAACTTACTTTATTTGGCTAACTTCTTACCTTTCATAGGGGAGCTCAGTTGCTGCCTTCTCCAGGAAACTTTCTGAGTCCTCCAGTTGAGGTCAGCAGTGTCCCTTCTGGGCTTCCGTGGAACTGTCTATCCAAGCATTTACTGCATTGTTTTGGCATTACTTATTTAACAAATGCTTAAATATTGCTTACTCTAGGCCAGACACTATTCTAAGTGCTTTACAAATATTTAATCCTATTGACAATTCTTTGAGATAAGTACTATTATTATCCCCAATTCCAGGTCACAAAACTGGGGCACAGTAAAGTCAAATAATTTGTCAAACATTACACAGACTGTAAGTGGTGGAGCTGAGATTTGAAGCAAGGCTGTATGGCTCTAGGATCTGTGTGCCTCACATTTGTGGCCATCCCTTTCCCTTAACATAGCCAGTTCTTTAAGAGCAGGAGCTGTGCCTTCGTCTTCAACCTCAGTGCTTCGCCTGATAGTTCAATACCTATATGTTGACCTTTCCACACTACAAGAAGGTCAGAGACAATAGTTTTCTAATATCAAACAAATGGAGGGTTTGTAGTGAATGTTTTATTTATCTAGTCAGCCTTGTTGACTTGGAGCATAAAGCAAAGCCCAACCTCCTTATTGTCTTCTGAGCACTGAGGCCCAAAAAAGACAGCTGCTTTCCTTGGTTTCCATTGCAGCCAACATGTGAATATGGAGGGAGAAGGTTAGGGGCTGTTTAACTGGAGTGAGGTGGGTGAGCCTGCTCTGGGTTTGGAGGCGCTGAGAGTTGCATTGGGCCAGAACAGTGCTACTCGGTGACTGCAGGGAGGGTGGAGCAAGCCAACGGGTCTGAGGGCGAGTGTGATGAGACAACGTGCCTGCAGGGTGGGGCTCACAGTGCTGAGGTCTCCTGTCACTGATGTCCCGCTCGGTGCTATGGCCATGGCCTCTGCCTCCCGCAGGCCCGTCAGGGCCAAGACCTCCCCTGTCAGCACTTGCTCCAGCCTGCTCCCTGCATTTGGGTTCTGGGTGTGTATCCAGAAGAACACTCGCTGACCTGCTTGGGGACTGAGGGTTTTCTCTCTGACATAGCGATTTCTTCTGCACCTAGGGAGAGCCCACTGCCAAAAAGGCCTGGTCAAATCCTGTGGTGTACATGGACATCAAGATTGGGAACACGCCAGCTGGCTGCATCCAGATACTCCTGCGCTCAGATGTCATTCCCATGACGGCAGGTGAGCAGGCTCCGGGTAGGACTGTAGGAAGTGCTGGCTGAGCAAGCTGAGGAGGAAGCTGTCTGGAATCCTGCACCCTTGACACTTGCTACCTGAGTCCACATGAGGCATCTTGGATGCCAGCTAGTAACAAAGAGGCAGAGCAGGCATTTTTGAAGCTCTGTAAAGGCTTAGAAAGAATAAGCAGTTGAAAGTTATACAGTATTTTTAATTACCGTCTGGTTTGGTTTTATTGTGTGGTTTTTTTGATAATTGTTTTTATAAAATTTTTTCAAACTTACATGCATATATAAAGTAAGAATTCTATAAGTATAGTCCAAGGAATTCTCATATGTCTGTTTTCCATTTGTTACTTTACGTTTTACCCCTACACTTTATTGTTTTATTTATATACATGTTTTTCCCCTTCTGTACCAGTTGAGAGGAAGTTGAAGACATGTCCTTTGACTCTTAAGCACTTCAGTATGTATTTCCTGAGAACAAGATTATTCCCTTAGTAATCACAGTACAACTATCAAAATCAGGATATATAACATCATTACAACACTATTAACTAATCTTGAGGCTATATTCAAATTTCATCCCTTATCCCAGTATTTTCCTTGAAAGTTATTTTAGCCATTTTTCTTCCTGACAAGGATTCGCATGTTGCACTCAGCTGTCGAATCTTTTAGTGTCTCAGTTTTCATTGTCTTTCATGATATTTATGTCTTTGAAGAGGACAGGCCAGTTGTTTAAGATAGTTTCTTGTCTGCTTGGTACTTCCTCAGGATTAGATATAGATGATGTATTTTGGCAGGAATACCCCAGGAGAATGCTATTCCTTGTTAGTGCATCCTATAAGGAAGTACATGACGTCAGTTCCAGTGTTTGTGGTGGTAACTTTGATCAGTTGGTTAAGGAGATCTCTGCCAGGTTGAAACCACTGGAAAGTTACTATTACTATTTTTTAATATATTTTTATTGATTTCAGAGAGAGGGAGAGGGAGAGAAACATCAGTGATGAGAGAGTCATTGATCGGCTGCCTCATGCACGCCCCCTGCTGGGGATTGAACCCGCAACCTGGGCATGTGCCTTGACTGGGGAATTGAACCCCAATCTCCTGGATCATAGGTCAGTGTTCAACTGCTGAGTCATGCCTGCTGGGCAAGTTATTATTTTAAGATTGTAAATTAAACATTAAAAAATTTTCTCCTGAGGTAACTATTGACAGTTGTTGTGTTTCAGATTTTCTTAAATATTCTTAATGACCCTTTTTATCTATAATCCTTTTGTTTCACTCTAGCTTTTTAAAAAATGTTTATTTACAGTCATAATTGCACATAAAGAAAATCATTCTATGACGTTTGCTATAAAACATTACATTCTTCTATTTCCCCCAGCACTGTAATTTTTCTGTGCTCCTAGAGGTAACATTCATTAGGTGGAACATTGCAGGACATTGGCTCCCTTCCCTGTAATGCCAGTAGCTCCCCCAGTGTTACTGACCAAAAACATACCTTGGAGTCTCCAAGTAGCCTCCAGGGGGCAGTGTTACCCTAGACAACCCCATTTTGGACAATCCCATTCCATCCCCCGGCTTTCAGTCGTGTCTCTAAGTTACCTCCCACATTTCAGTCTCCAGGCCTGTCTCCCCTTGGGCCCCCCAATGACTTCATATGCCCAAGAGCTCTTGCTCTTCTCCTCAAAACTCTTCCTCTCTCTCTTCCTGTTTCAGTCAGTGACACCACCATCCACCCAGCTGATGAGTCAGAAACTTAGGCCTCGCCCTTGACCCCTCTTCACCGTCACTTGTACGTCAGAGTCATCTGTCTTCAGTCACCTCCTGGTCCAGCCACTCTTCACCCTCCACCGCCAAGGTCTTCTGAGCTCCCCTCCATTGCTACTCTTGCCTCTTACCCCTCGTAGTCTAATACGGAGAGGGAGTCAGAGTGGTCCTTCTAAATAGAAACCCAGTCTCATCACTCTGCTGACAGCCCTCCCTGGGCCCGCGTCGCCCATAGGATCCCATCCAGCAGGGCTGACACCTGGGCCCAGCACCTCCCCAGCTCACTGACCTGCTGTCTGCTGTCTGCGTCCCCACCGCAGTCACTGTTACTCACACTCCATAGCTTTGCTTTCTCTGAAGTGCTCTTCGTTTCCACAGGGTATACCCTTCCTTCAGGTGTCACACACGTCACCTCGTCCCAGGGGCCTGCCCTCACCTCCCTCTAGATGGGCTTTCCTGCCATCTCACTCTCCTTTGGAGTCAGCTTCATTTTTTGTCGCACACTTACTACCTGAAATTAGATTATATACATTTCTTTTTTTACTCGTTTATTCTCTGTCTCCCTTCTGAGAATGTCATCCTCATCAGGCAGGACACAGGCTTTCCCTTCACCACTGTTCTGGAGCAGCGTCTGACACAAAGTAAACACACAGTAGTTATTTGAATATTTAAAACATATTCACAGGCTGGTGTGTTAGGTGCCAGGCGGCGGCTCTGCTCCGGCAGTGAGAGGCGAACGGGACAGTCCGCGTCCCGGGGAGTGCGGTGCAGAGGCCCAGTGAGGAGCACCCGGGCCTCAGACTAAACTCAGATGGCCCCTCCTCCGGAGCGCCTTTCATGACAGTGGCACCAGCATACGTCACACACATACACACACCCTCGCGTGACTGCCTCTGTGCTTCCAGTGTGTGCACAGATGTCTGTCCCTGAGCTTTGCTCTGTCATGGCTGTCACAGCACAGTTCTCTCTTGAGTGACTCTTGTCCTCTAGACTAAGCTCCACCACAGCTGGGACCCCTGTCCTCAGGGCTCAACACGGGTCTGGTTACAAAGTAGACAGTAACTATGTGTTGAGTGAATGAAGGGTTAAATCAGTATAAAATGATTGAAACAACCCTGCTCACCGTTTCACTGTCGATCAAGTGGAAGACAGGCATCCGCTCCGTCTGTCCGTCCAGAGTTGGCCTGGTGAGGGAGCCGGGGTGGAGGGAGCTGACCTGCTCCTTCCCTCCCCCAGGCCTGCTCTCCATGGCCAACTCAGGCCCAAACACCAACGGCTCCCAGTTCTTCCTAACGTGTGACAAGACGGATTGGCTGGACGGCAAGCACGTGGTATTCGGGGAGGTCACGGAAGGCCTGGATGTCTTGCGGCAGATTGAGGTGGGTGGCTGCCCAGGCCCTCGGTGCACAGCCCTGTGGGATGGCGGGAGCAGCCCCCCTGTGGCCTGGAGAGGGGCCCAGCTGCTCCAGGAGGAGCTGCCTCTGCTCAGGCTGGGCATGGGAGGGTGAGTGTTCCGAGCCCCCTTTAATCTTCACCCTCCCTCCTTGGTTTCTTTTCTTCTGCTCTTCCCACAAAGGCCCAGGGCAGCAAGGACGGGAAGCCAAAGGAGAAGGTGATCATCTCCGACTGTGGGGAGTACGTGTGAGAGGCACTTTCTCTGCACTGCGCCTGTGTATCCAGGAGTCGATGGCCCCGGGGATCCAGCACTTGTTAACGGGGTCTGTGCTGTGGCCCTTCTTGGGGTCGGCTGGGAGCATCTCCTCTGCAGGAGTGGCCTGGGCTTCCTCTGGCTCTTTCCCAAGCATGGCTGTGGGCCCGGGAGCAGGCACAGGTGCCACCCTCCCCATCCTGGACGGCCGTGCGTGGCCTTTCTAGGCCTTTGCTGCCAGGGCCTCTCCTGGGCCCCCGAGTGTGGCTCCTGAATGTTTCTTCTGGTAAAATAAATCCTAGTTCCTGTACTGCTGCTGCTATCCGGGTCCCCTGTTGCTCCCCTCTCCTCAGGCTGTTCCTGAGGGCACACCCTTGTGGGACCATGCAGAGTGGGAGGTCAGAGCAGGTGGAAAAGTGCCACTGCCCTCTGTCACTGCTGGTACTGGACAGGTGAGTTGGGTTAGCCAGACTCCGTTTTTGCCCTCACACCTGCCTGTCTCAAGTCTAACAGGCAGCTGTAGTCACTCTTGGGGGCCCATTCACTCATTCATTCAGCCACTGAGCCAGTGGTCAAGGTTGTGTTACAACAGAAGGCCCAGGCCCTTCTTTTACCAGGCCTTGTGCTCGGTGCTAGGCACACATAAGAAACAAGCCAGAGGTGGTTCCTACCTCCTCCCCTCATCCCTCCCACCTGGAAATCGAAGTCTGGTGCCACGTTCTGTAGCCTTTGCGAGGCTGGCCTCTCACTGCACAGTTTTGGGCCAGCTAGGCCACCTCACAGCATATCTGGTCACCAGAAACCTCCAGGGCCACCACCTGTACCCCTGCTGCCTGCCAGTGGCTCTGAATCAAATCTCAACATTCAGAAACCACTGGGCTGGGCTGGTTTGCATTTTGGGTGAGATCAGTGGAACTTGGAGGGGAGAAGCCTGCTGGCCTATGGCCCCCGTGATCCCAGGCCAGCTCCTACAGAGAGGGATGGGTGCCAGCCCCACCTATGGCATCTGGAGCCAGCCTGGTGGGGCTTCAAGTGGGGCTTCTGCCCCTTAGGTTGGCTGGAGCCTGCTCCTGTGGCCCACAGTATTCCCAGCAGAGGCTCTTGCTTAGCCTAGGTGTCCCTCCCGGTGGTCAGTCATGGCTGTCAGGACAGGCAGCAGTGAGGCTGGGAGAGTGGCAGCCCTTCAGGGCTGGTGTGCTGTCCAAGAGAAGAGGATGAGTGTGAGTTCTCAGCATGGCTAGTCTGGGTGTGACATGCAGGGACATGGAGCAGGCTGGCCTGAATCCCCAGGAGGGAGGACTGGTTTCAGTCCTGTGAGACATGGGAGAGGTTGGGGACTGTGCTTCCCTGGTTGTCCTGGGGAGGTGTGACAGCATACTGTCCAGGAGGCTGGTGGGTGGGGACAGTAGGGTGACAATTGCTCACCCTGTGCTATGCTAGGGCTTCCCCAGAAGTCACCCCTGGGTCCACCCATGACCTTTGCACAGGTGCTGACCTGAGACAGGTGAGGTGCCAGGCCCAGGGATTCCAGGCCAGTGGGCAGCCCGGTGACCAGGCAGGTGTCTCCTCCCAGATGCCGGGTGGGGCTCAGATGGTATCCTCATGGAATGCTACTACAAATTATGTTTTCAAAATATATTTAATAAAATTTTCAGAATATATCATAAATTGAATAAATCAGATCACCAAGTAGTGCATAGAGTATGATCCCAACTTTGTAAAATATCCATCTCTTATGTATAAAGACATGTGCCAAGAATAAAGACTGGAAGGAATCAATAAAGATGGTTATCTCCATGGTGGATTATGCGTATTCCTATTTTTTATTTAAGAATTTCGTCAGCATATGTATAATGTTTTCTTAAGCGAAGAAAAACTTAAAGACTCAAATGGTTGCTGAAGGCTCCTAGTAAGAAGAGAAACCCCCGAAAGTTTCTTCCTTCAGCTTCCCGTGAGGCTGGAGGTGGGCACCGCTGGCCACCTGTCGTCAGGGTCCTCCCCAAGCAGGGGAGGCAGAAGGCTACCTCTCGTTCCGAGATTACCAAGTTTAAAACAAAACACAAAAAAAAGATTACCAAGTTTAAAAAAAAAAAAGGTTACCAAGTTAGGATTTTTTAGGGAGAGCACAGCTTTGAAGTAAACAGCAGCACCTCCAGGACACATCCTAGGAAGAGTGTTTTAACAGGAAAGCACACAAGGAGGCCCACATTTGCAAATTAATTTTAAAGTAAGGCCATTAATAGATGCTACTCCACACACGTTCAGATGTGGTGCTCTGGACAGACCTGGTTCCCATCATAGCCTTGCAAGGGAAGGAGCAAATCTACAGGGGAAGGACCTCTAACCCAGGTTATGCAGTTTAGTCTGATTAACAAGAGATAGAGCCAGGATTTGATGCCAGGTCTACTGGCTACAAAACCCACCTCCTTTCCTGTGAAATTGTAGGGAATTTCTTGGAGCATAATACCCACTTCCCCACATTGACTAAAGAGTGGGGCTTTGCCTGATAAGCTGGCCTCAGGGCCGGGGCTGCAGTTCAATTGTGAAGGTGCATGAGGCGGTTGCTGAGGACAGCAGTTGGCCCCGGACTGAACATCCGTCTCGCCTGTTCTGCATCCTCAGTGTCAGCACTTGCTTTGCTGTCTGTGCGCCCAAGGTGACCTCCCTGATTCATGCTTCTAATATGCAGCCTCGAATGTAACCTGGGCTGCCGGGGCAGCCAGGTAAACAAGGTGGCCTTGGTACCTAAACACTGCCGCCTCCGCGGCTTTGTGTCTGTAATCTCCCTTCTCTGAGGCCTTTTCTGTTGGATTTCGGATGGAGGCCACCTGGATGGCTGAAGGTGCTGGAAGTAGAAAGGCGTGACTGCTGTCCTCTCAGCTTTTCTGTGTGAAGGGAGTCGTGTCAGGTTCCTGCTCACACCGACGGGAGAGGCAGTCCACATCTTTAAACATTCATTTCACACTTTCCCAGCACCCCCAAACCGTGCCAGGTAATGTGGGAGTCAATGAAGAGACCAAATGTTAACATCTGTCAAGTTTCCGGCCTCCACTGCCCTAATGTTGGGAGGAAGGAGCTGTTCAATAAGGTCCTGAAATGGCAGGTTTCATTCCTACGGCAGGGTGGCAGGCACATTCTCTGGCTCAAAGGGCCTTTGGAGACGAAAGAGTCCTATGTGCTCACAGATGGGAAACTGAAGCCTGAATCAGGAAGGGGACTGGTCCAGACAACAAGCAGGCCAGTGGCTGGGTTGGAACCGGAATACAGATCTCCTGACATTCCCACCAGTGCCAGGTTCACTCCCAGCCTGAGCTCAAAGCCCCTGGCTAATGGGAGAATCTCCATCCTGCAGACAGTATGGGCCCATCCTCTGTGCACATGGGCGGGGTCTCTTCCCCTGTACTCGCTCCCAGAGTCCCCCCCAGGTCCAGGTGTGGAGGCTGCTGTCCCGCAGCATGGCCCAGCCTCCGCCCCTGCTCCAGACCTGCTCTCCCGGAGCCTGTCCTTAGGGATGCGTCCTTGGGCACATGGGTGGTTCTGCCTCTGTGGGCTGTGCCTGTGGGTTGGGGTGGGCCCAAGATCTGCTATTAGCGATACAGTGTTTCAGGGTTTGGGCAGCTGGACTCTGCTCCAGCAGGTAAATTACAGGTTTAGCAAGTCAGAAATCAAATAAACACTCCAACTGCCTCAGCTGCTCCAAGAACAGTGGTTTCTGAGAACCTCCCTACCCAGCTCATCCTAATTACTGCCTGTCACTCCCCTGGGACAGGGGCCTTTTCTTTGGCTCACAGGCCCCAAGAAACAGGATGAGGCTCCTGGACACAGAGGGTGACCAGTCTGTTCTTACCTTCTAGACTCCAGCCNCCAGTCTGTTCTTACCTTCTAGACTCCAGCCGACACTGACAATGGCCACCCCTGCCCCACGCCTGGCCAGAGGTGGCCCAGGCACTCTGCTCTGGGGAATGGACTGCTCCTTACCACGGGAGAGAGAAACCAGTTCATTTAAACCTTGAAAGTTCTGTGTTGAGGGTCTTGAGACCCTGTCCAGGTTCAGTGGGAGGAGTACCCAGGTGCTCACCGACGGCCACAGGCAAGAGGATGGGCAGGGGTGAGGTCTGTGCCTCATCTGCTAGGACCACGCGCTGCACACACTGTCTTTGCTTCTGCTAAGAGTTACCTCTGTCTCGGTGCTGAGCCCCATATGGAGACAGTGAGAGAACTGGAAGCCCCCGAGATTCTTTGCTTCTCTGGGGGTCACACCTCTTCCCCAGGTAGGAGGGCAGGCCCAGGGCTTGAACCCATCCAGCTTCCTCTTTTCCTAATGTGCTAATAGTTGGCTCGCCAAGTTAGGAGCCCAATAATACATTGTACTGAGGGCATGTACATGTCTAGCTAGACCCAGAAATGCCCAGTGTTGCCCTGGGAAGGGGCAGCCCCTGCTCCCACACCCAAGCCTTGACCCAACCAGCCAGCCTTACACGCCAGGTGCTCCCGGGTCCCCCACAGTATGTGCAGGATACCCAAGGGCAGGCCCTAAGATGGGCCTTCTGTGCTGACCGCAGACAGCGCAGTCTGCACACCAAGGCTGCTGTGTGCATCAGGCCCTGCAGGTTGGGATGGGACAAACCACAGACCCTGGGGAAGGGACACAGAGGCTTGGAGAGGCCCAACCAGGCCCTGACTGGATGTGGGCAGAGGTATGAGAGCCCTCCCTTCAGCCCCATGAGAGCTTTAGTGACATTTGAGGGTCTCAGCCTCTGGAAAGGGGCTGGACCAGGCGGGAGGCCCTGCAGCAGCCAGGGCGGGGCCTCAGAGGCAGCCACAGGCCTTGACCACCATGTTGCGGTGTTTGCGCAGGATGAC